TTAAATTTTATAATAAAAACTAAATTGAAAATTGAAATTGAACATTATTATTACATATGTATTATTAAAAAAGATACACATGTATGTACAATGAATGTATGTACATGTATAATGAAGACACTGCGACTAGCCGTAATAGCTGACCAAGATTGATCGTTGCGTGCGTAATGGTTTCCTAACTGCGACTGAATGCTGCAGCTGGCATTTATTTTCAGTTCAGTTTAATGCAGCTCGATATTTCGTTGTGGACACGCGTATTTATTCTTTTTTTTTTTTTAAATTTCTCATCACACACAACTTAATATGGAACAAATAATTATAAAAAATAATAAAATAATCATGGTTTTATTATAAAAGGAGAAAGAAGAAGAAATAAGGTACACTTCAAATTTATATAAAGGACATCTTCGACTAACTGCTCATCGTCAGTTGTCAGCATAAACGTGCACAGACATTACTGGCAGGGTAGTCATACATAACACATTAACATTTAATATTTATAACAAATTTGGATGGGGTAATTTCATTAAACTTAATAATTATATTTTCCCAACATTCTTATACATTTATTTACCATTTACGGACGCGTTTCGAAGTCGTTCGACATAATATGGTTATTTATTATTGTGATAGTATTGAATACTTTGGTGAGAGAGGGAAGGTTCACTGAGTATTCAAGTGTCTATCCTGACTACCCCGTATGCACGCTTATGGTTGTCAGTGTACAGAGTTTTCGTCGTTTTTCGATTAAATTAATCCGTTTACAAAAATATACAATACATTTGTTCAGAATAAAATCTCAATGCGACGCACGCAATACTATGAAAGCATTGAAAAGCCAACTGTATGTTTTTTTATCTCATTATTATAGATTATCACAACTCATTATTATCGATTAGAAAAATGTGGAAAAGTGGTTTTGTGAAAAAGAAACTGTAGTACGTTAACACCGATAATTAAGACATGTGATTTATAGTATTAAAAAGCAAATAATCGGTCACGATTCTAGGGCAAAATGTTCGTACGAGCTGCAGCCTACTCTGCCCTTACACTAGAATAGGGTGACCATAGTACCGTTTAAAACGGGATTGTCCTTTTTTTCATCATTATATCCCGTTGGCCCGACAAACTTTGAACGGAACAAAGACCTAGTAAAGACATGATATTTTATGTAATTTGATATACATAATGCATCTTATTCACATGCAAACAATAAACACATTTTTTCTTGGAAATTTGACATTTGTAGAAAATCGTCATAAGAGATTTGAATATTTACACGTAATTTGATATACATATTCTACTTTATACTGAGAAACCTATATGTACATACTTAAATACGTTAAATTAATTACATATTACTAATAGATGTAAGAGTCTAAGAGGAAAATTGTATCCTAAACATCTCCAGTTAGATTCTTACCCACATATTGGATTTATTTTAATTATCAATAATATTCTTTATGTTTTCAAATGTATTATCACCTGTATGATAATATTAGTGAGTATTTGATATCACAACTGGTATCGGTTATTATCAAAACACCGAATATTCGTTATGTTTTCAAATGTGTTATCACCTGTACGATAATATTAGCGGGTACTTGTAATCACATTTTATATTATCACAACTGATATCGGATATTATCAAAAATTCAGAAGTAGCGGTGGGGTAAGGGAGGAGCAGCAACGAACACGATCGCTTTAGTGGTGAGGGTGTGCGGTGGTGCTTGAAGCCCCCATTTTATCCTACTCCTATGATTCTGGTCGATGGATGGAGAGTGTTTAGGTTAAACCTGGATGCGCTGGTACACGAATCTATAGAGCCACCGCGCCGTCCGGTCTCTTTGCACCAGCTCCACACGATCGTTGCAACAAGGCGGTCAAAAGTCGACACATAGGAAGAATTACAATTTTCCGCACGTTCCACGTGTTCACGAAGTATTATTACGATACACGCGTGCACCCTTTTCGTAGTTAACGGTGCCGTAATAATAATAATAATAATAATAATAATCCCCGAATTGTACGTGTTGCAAGACCGTAAAGCGTTACAAAACAGTCCGTTTAGGTTGCATTAATAAATTGTTGTAACCGTCGACGGCTGTGACCTTCGTGATCCGACGACGAAACCATCTCGTGTGCGCCACCGCCGGTGTAGACACCAACCGAAATGTATCAGCATGGAAGTCCTTGAGCAGCTCGTTAAACGCAATTACCTCGTGAATAGGTAGTACCCACTACAAGTGTGTCGTTACCTATGTACGTATGTATATCTGCGTTCGTTTCGAAATTTCGATGACAATGACGGAACAAGTTCAACCGAATGTTTAATGCGATTTCGAACATAATAATTGAGGATTACTTCACGAATTAAAAATTCATCGCTGTGTAATTTATTCGAACGACGGACATTTACTGCGCGTTCGGCAACAAAAGGTCGAACGTAACTTATCAACCACGTGTAAAAACGTTCAAAACCTTTGCACAACCCGTTCGTTCTTAACCCGGTAAATCCGCGTTTCCAGATGTGGTTTAAAAACGATTGCACAACCGTACACATATCACCCATAAATAAATTCGCACTAACGACCTTGAAACATGCACATAACACAATGATTATCTTAAAAGAATGTATTTCTCATATTTTCACATCAGTTCTATAACATTATTATAAACATTAATCGAAAGTATTTCGAGAATATGGAACCAATATTTTGAGATTTAGACCAAGTGTTCTATAGATATCATAGTAAAACTAGAATAATCATACCCTGTTTTGGTAAGATTGACACACTTACTAAGTACATGAAAAATGACACATCTAGGAGGGCATAGTAATATCCTCTTAATGGTTTAGCTAAATCCAGATTTTTACAGCTTTTTTTTTTAAACTTAAACAATGCATAAATTTTCCACATTTATCCTGCATCAAATCTTACTAATATTTAACAAAAATGTCCTTATACATTTCTTATAACATAAGTATATAAGGATAGACATATTTTGAAATCAAGAACTACATTATAGTCTTTTGTAACATCTTGAAAGTGGCGCTCACAGGGGTGTCGATTGACACCCCTCAGAGAATTGGTGGATGACTAGTTCTGTGTGAACATGTATGAATATTTGTTTAATTTAACGCTAACCAATTTTTCATCTATCCAAATCAACATACTAATTAACTAGAACTATGCGTCACATGAGAATAAGTAGTAGGGCTCAATCCCAAAAAATTATGCTATACAAACTTATAAATAAATTTCCCAGAAAATTAAAAAATAATTAATGTAAGGTTTATTTTAAAAAATTTTATTTTTAGTATCTTTGTTAGAAAGTAAAAACCAAAAACACCTAAAATGAATAGTTAAACTATGCCTAAACTCAGATTTTACTGGTGGGGATGGGTGGGTACCTCGAAATATATATTTTCGACGCCCTTGTCAAAAATCTATTGTGCGCCATTGCATCTTGAGATTTAATAATCAAATTTCAATATCAAAGGATTGATACAAAAAAGTTTCAATGAGATATTTTGAAAAATCTGTTACTCAAAGGTTAGTTATAGTAATCTTATGGTTAGTTTTAATAGAAAAGGAAAATATATTTTTATACTATACAATAAATGTATAGACTCACCAGGACCCAGTCATCAAATGATAAGTTATTAAAAAAAAAAATTAAATCTAGATAAAAATGTCCGCAATAACAATTAAATCAATGAATGCCTAAATACATTTCAAATTAATTATGTTGATAGGTTTAAATATGTTTAAAACAAAAAATTTAATTCTTAATCCAATTCAAAAATATACTACACTGTAGGTAGGGTATTTTTAAAAAAAAATTAATACAAGATATTTATATTGTTCTTTTATACCAAAAATTCATATATTTAATGTATTTTTCAACAAAATTTTAGCTGAATTTTCAAAGTATCACTTATCAATTTTCTAGCCACATACATATTATTATCAACAATACATGAAATAAAAATAAATAATTATTGGATTTTTAAAAGATAAAATATAATACTATCTTTTTCATATCTTAACAATTATTTATATTGCAGGTTAAGTTAACAAACGAGGTAAACACATTTAATGGAAGTTCACAACTGTCATCACACAAAACATTAAAAAAAAAAAGATAAACTCAGTTTAGAATTTTTAGACATTAAAAAAAAAATAGTATTCAATAAAACATAATAAATTACAATTTAAAATCATTTTTATTCAGCGCCAATTCATATTGCACTTTTATGTATTAAACTTCTACAACTACAAAGTAAAATATAAACTTAGGTTGTATGAAATCTTAATACTTTTAATTGAATTTTATAGGCCTGATTTTACAAAAAATCAATTAAAAATTATTTTAAATATATTTTCAAGGAAGTCAAACTGAATATGTTAAAAATAAACAATCTGTACTAAAAACCTTCCCATAAGTTTGAGATCAGGAAAAGTTTAAAAATAATATTATTAATGTGAATGCTTGAAAAAAAAATAATATAATATTAAAAACAAATGGCACACCATAATATTTAAATAAATTGGTGGATTAATAAATATAAACAAAAATATTTTTTGGATCATGATTGTAAATTTTCAAAGTAAACAAAAATTAATGATTTAATACACTTTTCAAGTTTTCCAGTTAACATCAATAAGTTTACTTTTAAACATAAATTATAAGTTTTTATTCCTTAAGTTATAGTTTATTTATTTTATTTTATTTTGTTTTTTTTTTTTTTTTGGACAAAACTTGAAAATTGCATAATTATCAAATACTATAGTAAATTTGATATTAACTATTACATATTATTAACATATTTTACTTTGACTATCCGTACAGTATTACTAATAGGTTTTCTATATCAGCACTATTCTTTAATAAAATAAGCAATGAAGCCAACATAAAACTAACTTACAAACAATCAAAAATAAATAATTTTAGGTTTTTTTAATATTATACAAAGAAATATAATTATTTGCTTAAAAATATTTTTGTTAAATAACCTTATTGCTCAACTTAAATCTAATAAAAACCGTTAGTAAAACACATTTTGTAATTCACAGATGAGACTGTTAGTTAACATATGAATACAGTAATTTGTATTCATTATACATCTCATGTGTTTTGAACTCAATTTTTATAACAGTCTTCATTGGAAAAAAAATAGGTATGTACAACAAAAGATAAAAATCAAAGTGACTGAATAGCAGCAGAACTTAATTGTATTTGTTGATGTTGATTCAATTCTCGTCTTGCTGTAGTGGATTGTACCTTAGTATGAGATGCAACACGAGCACTACTATGCTTTATTGCCATTTGTAAAGTGTGCCTGCGATTTAATCTTTGTACACACGATATACATAATGTAAGAGGTAAACCGTCAGAGGACTTTATCTAAAACAGAATAAAATATTAATGTATTCAAAAGTAGGTACCTGAAATTATATTGCATGATACTGACTTATTTTAAATATAAATAAACAACATAAAAGACTGGATTATGTTTACATCATCATATTTTGAATAGAACAAAACTATTTACTTTGAATTAGAATAATGAAAACCATATATATAAAGAAAAATTCTGATTCCAAATAAATTTTAATATTACTCTAACCCTCCTGAAGATTAAATTCATATTCAATTTTCAAAATCATATAATTTACTTAATGAAAGGAAAATAAATGATCTATTCAATATTTCTCAATCATTATTCTCTAGTTGAGTCTCTGGTACTAATAAATAGTATTTAAGTTTCTTAAATAATTTACTATCAATTTAAGTACAGTTTACTTGTTTAGTATATGAAAAACATTATTGAGAAATAAAATTTTACAGAAAACTAATTTTTAAAATTGTATCATTCTTTAAGCAAACAATACCTTTAGATACAAATTTTATGTTAGTGACATAGATGATATAATTCATTGAAAAATATATTAGATATATACTTAATGGGAATAAAAATAAATTCAGATAACATTTTTGACAATTTTACAAAATAATTGTTTGATAATGGATATTAATAGGAATTAATTATATAAAGAATGTTCTCTCTGTAACAAATTATTCAGCTATTTGGGAATTGCAAAATATTAAATACTGAACTCTTTAAAAAATTATACTTATTTCTAACACAATATTTTATATTGTTCTTTTTTAAATTGTCTATCTTACCAAAATATAGCAAATTTCGCTAAAACTACCCTCTTAAAACAACAAATAGTGTATATTATATATAAATAAAGTACAATAACCATTAAACAATCAAAAATGAGCAGATCTAGATAATAAATCTGAGATGTAGAAATTTTCTGAACTTTAAATTAATTAATCAAAATATACCTCAAATTTCAACTAACGTATAAAAAAAAAATGGATGCTAAGTCACACAAAAATATTATATATATATAAATAAATATATATTTATTTCACTTTATAATAAATCAATTAACTTCAATATTAATTCAGAGTCCAGGGTTAATTATTAAGAAAGTAAATTTATTATAAAATTATAATAAATTCAAAATGTAAATTGATCTTAATACCAAAAATTATAAATTAATTAACATGGGATAAAATAACCATATAATATATTTAAATAAATAATTATCAAAGAAAACACAATTAGAGCAAATTAATTATTATAAAAGTAAAAAAGGACTATAATGACATATTTGATAAATTTAATTTAATGTCTTGAATATTTCTAGTACAGTTAAAGTATAATTTGGACCATAGTCCGAGATTCATAAATTAAAGAATTAAATTCTATAGTTGTAAAATAAATAAATTGTATCAGAATCAATTGGTCTTAAACAAAATCATTGAAATTAAATATTTACACACTTTTTTTTTTTTTTTATTGAGAGATAAACCATCTATACAAAAAAATGAATAGTAAAAATAATTTTTGTAATATTTGATTTATTGACATACAAAGTGTGAAAATATTGATGAAAAAAGCCACTCATTAGTGACACTTCAATTTTAATCATTTATTGTAAGTTTAATGATTATTTGAATACAGTATAGGTCATGATGCCATAAATACCAATTTTGGTACAACTTTAAAAACATTACTGAATACCCTTTCATATATAATACTTTATAATATATATATATACTATAGGTATACTATAAGTATATAAATCCAAGTCAATTAGTTAATGGTAAATTAAATACCACAAAAAAAATAGTAAAATACACGTTAAATTACTGATGGAGTGCAAAACTTATTATAATTAATGATATATAATTATATATATACTAGCTGACCCAGTAAACATTGTTTCGCCGCATATTTTTCATATAGTTTAATAACAAATACTGTAATAAGAGAATTATATATATATATATATATATATATATATATATAATAAAAAATATAATAGAAGTTTCAAGAAATATTAGGAATAAATTAAGGGTACTTAAATGTTATTGATATCACAGCCAGAACATTAAAATAAATTTAATTTTCAAATCCACAAATATAAGTATATTTTTTAATTATGAAATATTTTAGGTAATATGGCTCAAAATTAAACACATTACAATTTAAATAGGTACACAACTATTCTTTGAATAATGTTATCATAAAAAATAAAAATTAATCCTTTAATTTTAAATACACTTAAGTATATACTTAATATATGAAATGCCTAGGAACTAGCAATAGCCTACCGACAGGTGTATTTACTTTTTAATGATAAAACAAAATTTAATTTAAAATATTACTAATATAATGTAAATATTAAATAAATTGCAATGAACATAATCTATTAAGATATAAATATTATTCATGATATAAAAACATGAAAATAACCTTTAAGTTTAAATATAATACTTTATGGAATTTATATATTTAACTACTGATGCTAAATTTAAAAAAATAAGCTTTTAGTGGGTAAATTGAGCAGATCTGTAAAATGAAAACACAGGTTATTTCTTATTAATTATTATTATGGTATGTAGGAAATAAATTAGCTGATGAATAATTCTTAATAGTTTTACAATAAAATCATACTTGGGAGAGTTCTCCTTTGAATTCACGGAGTAAGATTAGCACGGGGATTAGCATAAATAAATTAGAACAAAAATTACTTGATTTCGAAAATTCATTTATTTTCTCAATAATTGTCTAATACCCACAGTAAAATTATATCATCATGTACAATGTTGATAAAATTTCATTCAAGCTGTCAGATTTCATTAGCGTAACCAATTTTTATCCTTGACTTATTTTCATATACTTTTAATTTAAAATATATCTAAAGAGTAGGTAATCAAGCAATAGTTAGGTCAAGGTTACGCATAAACTATGTAAACCGTCTTAAAAAATAGTAACATCTCAGATGATATTTTAAATTCAACCTTATAAAAACACCAACAGATAAAGGTGTAGGTACCTACACAAAATAAAAAAAATAAAACAATTCACTTAGAAAGCCAATGTTGTAAAAATCCTTGAGAAAAAAGTGGTTGGCTGGCAAATTTTACAAATGCTAATAAATCGCAAAAACATTTAGTCAGATACTGTCGGAAATGCTGCGTGTAAACAATGGGTGTAAGAGACGACGCGTAGAAGATACCAAATGTGGCGAATGATGCAAAAAAAAAAAACGTAATGTGCACATTATGAGAACACTCGGGAGTTGTAATACGAAATTAGAAGTAAAACGGGTAGCAATATAATAATTTATTGCATTATGTATACATAAGGAGCTCAAGCATCAAGGCCGCGGCGTCCTCGACGCCTATGAAAGTAAGTAACACACTTTTAATAACCCTGAAAAGACAAAAAATTGGTTCACCGAAAACCTGAGGTCAAGGTTGTGGCAGCGTCGACAACGGTGTGTGGGGCAATAGAAGAAATCGGTTCATGGAGCGCGAATGGTGGATATGAAGCCGAAGAAAAAGACAAAAACGCTGTACCGAAATACGCCCGCGCAAGTCGGCAAGGCGACTTATTCGAAAAAGACGAACGTATAAAAAAAAAACACAATTTCGGCATCACGCCGCCAATACGCGCGTGCGAATGCGTTTCACGGTTTTAGCGCTAAATCGCAACGGACTCCTGTGATAACGCAACACACGCACACATACAACTTTCTACGGGCGCGTGTGCGTGTGTGAGCTGGTGCATATACAATATTACAAACACACACACACACGTATAGATTTCGTCATACACATTTCGACACACGCACACGCACACAGACACGCATATATTATAGTGTTTTAATACACAAACATACACAATAACGAAATTCAATAGGGCAAACGGAACGGAGAAAAATAAAAAACCGTATTCCCGATTTCAAATGTTTGGCTTTGGGTCGTCACCCGTATTACGATTGACGGTCCAGAGAACGGGGGAAGGATGAGACGTTGACAATTACCGGACAACCGGCTAAGGGGTGATTCGGATTCAAATGTTTACCTTTATGGGCAAGTAATCTCTGATCTTTTGCACCAAATTGTACTTTCTTCCCAGTTCGCCATAGATGTGCACTACGCGCTTGTCGATTTTCGAACACAGACGACATATGAAACCGCAACGGACAGCGTTGTTCACGCTTCCCATTTAGACGTGTCGGCGGTGAACGCAACGAAATAACCACGCACTCTGACAGGCGACGACGAACTGCGGCGCGAGATTGGTCGAATAGCACAGACGGTACCGTAAGCAAAATATACACCAAGAGACGAGTTAAAAAAAAAATTAAAATCCGATTTCACAGTTGCGATGGTGGTGGTCACGGCTACAGCAGTGGTGGTAGTGAGTCAGTACAACGGTGAACACTTCGGATCGTCGGCCGCTGCACGACGAGTCGAATTAAAACAAAATGATATTTTGTCATTCGAAAAAAATAATAAAAAATTTTCGCAACACCTTTCAACACCGATGATAGCGCCGCCGGAACGACAACTTAACACATCATATCGGGTGACGGACCCCATCTGTTGGCTGCACTGATTGTTCCGGTGCTGAAGCCGAGCTTAACCTCAAAAACCATCTGTACCCGATTACAGATCGTTCGTTCTCAATGATATGCTCATTTTTTTACGATCAATTGTTGCGGCTGTTTCTTGGTTGCTAATTTTTAAAAAGAAACTAATTTTGTATATTTTTTTTCCCACATACATATAATGTTGATTACTCACCGACTATGTGTTCTTACTACTTCTTAGACGTCAGCTTGTGAGTACACTGTGGAATCGTAATTATTGTTTGATGTTTTTAATTTAATAATTTTTTTAATTGCTTTAAATAAATAATAATCGCATCGATTTTCCTGTCTAGAAATGTTCTTGACAGAAAAGGAGAGTACGTGGTTGTGAACGACGGAAAGTTTTCATTTTACATTAAAGAAGCGCTCAAAGAAGTCTTTGGCCAGGTACATAATTTCTTGTTAACTCCTTCACTGTTCATTTCTCAGCGTTTCTTGGTGCTTACCTTAACTGTCCGAAGGCCTGAGCTGATTAATAATAATTTTTTTTGCTGAATTATTTGTTTTTAAGTCTTTACACTTTTAAAAAATCAACTTTTAATGTTATGATAACTGTTTCTTTTTAAAACACCTTAATAGTTTTTTGTTTTTCATGTTTTATACACAAATACTTAATTATTTGTTATAAAATTCAATTAAAACAACTTAAGAAAGTGTTAAATGTTATTTATTCAATAATTAAATTTATAACTACTTATTAATTTGTACTCAATGTTGATTGTTTATTTTGAATATATGTAAAATTATAGAAATGTTAAATGTAAACAATCTGTTTTTCTCATATTGTTCTATTGTTCATATCAATAGTGTTGCAATGATATAAAAATATAACTAATTGTACTACATTTGAAATATTGAATTGCTATTAATAATTTTATAATTTATTACTTAAGCCCATCTCTATTTAGATAATTATTCTATTTTTTTTGTTGTGTTCTTTATTATAATTCTATAATTCTTCTCCTTTACCTTCCCATTATTTGAGGTTGGCCACCTTTGTCCTAAACCTCTGCTCATCTGGATTTTCTACATCCCATTAAATAATTCTATAATTAGGTATAACATTATTTTTAATACTTGTTTAGTTATATTTCATCAGTTTAAATCTATTATTCAAATAAATATTTTACTATAAGTAAACAGTTATTACTTTTTATCCATAAATGTATTGAAATTCTCTGTAAAACTATTATATCATATTAATTAAGTATATTAAATTCTGAAGAATTAATAAGTAATTACAGTGAATAATAATAACTTATAATAGTAATTTTGTAATCAAAATGTGAACAAACAATTAGTAATCATAATATAATAACTGTTCAATAAATTAAAGCATTTATCAATTTGGTCTAAGCGACTTAACTTAAAATGTATTAGTTAAATAAGCTATAAAATTAAGATTAAATAAATTATTTTATTGATGGATTTATGTGTGACATTTACAGCTTATAAATTGTTATGCATGTAGATTTAACAAATATTTTCTTTTTTAGTTCGGATCGAGTATCAATTTTGATGTACTAAAATTTGAAGCTGGCCAGGGTCTAATTCGGTGTCCATCTTCATTTTACATTAAATTTAGAGGTGCACTTACCTTGTTTGGCCGTCATAACTCAAATACTATTGCTTTTAACGTGCATCGTGCATCCCCTTGTTTAATATCATTTGTCACTAACGATACAACTTACAAACATGTCACAAGTGTTTAAAGATGGCAAAGACACAATCATTTTTGCTACAAAAGAAGATCATCAAACCCCTAGTAAAGTTGAACTATCACCTCCAGAACCATCTCCGGGTCTTATATTTCCTGATGGCTCCATCAACTGGAATTGTCCGTGTTTAGGCGGAATGGCAACTGGTCCTTGTGGAGTAGAATTTAGAGAATCATTTACTTGTTTCCATTATAGTAAAGAAGATCCAAAAGGTATGGAATGTAGAGAAAAATTCACAGCTATGTGGGATTGTATGGATCAATATCCAGAAGTTTATAAAGATGGTTTAAAGGATGATGAAGACATTAAAAATCCTGAAGAACCAACTGGTGAAACTGATAATAACCAACAAGTTGAAGTCCAAAGTAAAGAAAAAAATTCGTAAAATTTGTTAAATGTTCCGTTTTAGAATTATTTTTTCTTTGTTTTAAATAGATGTTTTAGATATAAATATTTTATTAATGTTTTGTTTTTATATGTACTTAAACATATTATTTATTATCAACATATTTTAGTAAAAACAAAGCACTTGATTTACAAGCTACATACTTAATTTTCTTTAGTATTCTTGTTCTTCAGTTTAACTTAAACCAATCAATAATAATTTATAAAAAATTATTGATTGATTAAAAAAAAAAAAAATATTTTATTCTAAACACTTATAATATCTATTACATTTATTCCGAAAAAGTATATTATCCAAACAATAATAATTATGCGATTTGCTAACCAGAATCCATATCCATGCAATTGATTGATCCATTAAATATTTACTTATTTACATGCGAAAAATTTAAAAAAAATGTATTTTAACCTTAACAAGTATAAGATTTGACTAATGAACACTCAAAATTAGTAGATCTTTAAATTTACTGTTAATTAATTAATCTTTTTAAATCTTGAAGTATTCATATTTTTTTACTTAAAAGAAGATGTCAATATACCATAGTTGATAAAATCTTAAGTATGACAATAAATGCTGTTCCAGCATCTTTTATTATATGAAAAGTATAAAGTTTACCTCTTTTGGTTCAGTAGCCCGTGCATATACTTTCAGATAGACAAAAATATGATACCTAGCTTAATTAATTATCCATTGGAACAAAATAAAGTGTAGGTACTATCACTGTATTTTTATGATTATTTGTCACAAGTGAACCTGCAACATTAATCTATTTTACACTACAAAGGGGAATAGCTATAAAAATTGTGTATATTTATCTTTGATAATAATGTAAGCGGGTTATAAGTGGTTAGATCTTAGTCGTAGGTTTAAATTATGTACATGATATAAATTTCTTGTTGCTATAAATATTTTGTTTGAGATAGGTGAAGATAGATAGAAGCTCTTTCCTCACTTAAATAAAATATATTAATAATTAGCTACATTTTTCATTTAGAGGTTGAATCACATGATTCTATAATAACTTTATGAAAATTTTATTTTAATACTATAATTGCACTGGAAAAATTAAAAAAAATATGCTAAGGTTCCTTATAAAATCATTCAATGTTCAATGTAAATACTAAACGAAGTGCATTTTTATTAACTTGAGAAATTATTAATAGCCAATTTTCTTATACTAAATTATTAAGCTAAGTACTAATTATAAATATTGAAGTAACCTTAAACTTTTTCACTTGAAAAGGATATTATTGGTAGTATGAGAATGTTATTAATTCGAGCTTTAAATGAGTATCGGATATGGCTGCTATAGTTCTGAAGAAATAAGAAAATTTCGTGATTGTCAAACAACCCGGTTTTTAAAACAACTAATCCAATAGAATGATGTTAAAATATTTTTTTTTGTACTTTTCATTGGTAATATGATACTCAACGACAAAATAAATTCAATGCAAAGCGAAGTTGAATATTTTTGTTATTAAACTATACTTATATTACCATCATGATTAATACATAATATTTCATTCGTATTATAAATGTTACCTCAATGTCTGTTAACAAACCTTCACCTAGTCCCTTTCACATTTCTTTAACTACCCCTTCGTTAGCTGAATTAAATTTTAAGGTGAATATTAAAAATAGCAAAAAATATTACTACTTAACTACAAATATCTTCATCTAAATCTCTAATAACCTACTTACTAGAATTAATTAATATTACTTGTTTTATGACCTGCCAAAACGCAAACAGATACGTATGAGCAAGGCTCGGAACTTTATGCGCTAAAAATACTAAAATATGCGTTAAAAAACATCAAAATATGCAGTCAAAAATTGGAAAATAATTGCTTAAAAAATAATAAACCGACTATTGGTTAGTGTAATGGGGGGGCTGGGCCCGGGCTCCCTCCAAAATGAAAAACATCATTGTTAAAGATTATTATTTTTAATATGGATATATCTTAATGCTGGGGGTTTCCGAAAATTTGTCGCGACACTGTGAATGTTTCTTTGCGATAATTTAAAATTTTATATTTATAAAATATATTTATTCTTTTAAGAAAATATGTGATTAATTTTGAGTGACTCTAATAAAAAATTTGTTTATTACAATGTAGTTTTATACTTTTAAAAAATAATAAATCGTTAAAAAAAATTGAGTTTCTTATTTCTCTGATGGTGTAAAGACAGTCGAGAAGTCTTATAGTGTTATAGTAGTAATTTTTTTCGTAATAGTGTACTTCCTCCTTCCCTTTCACTCATAAGTCAAATACATAATCGGCACCCTCCGAAATGAAAACCTATATACGTCACTGTAGTGTACACTGTACAAAGAAGACGCTTGTATGCAGATGTGTGCAGTATTATAACGAACAGAAATAATATTGTGTATAAGCTGATAACCTGATGGTTACACATAATTGTTTATGAATTACCTATGGTTATAAAATTTGTTTATGTTATGTTACAAAATATTAATACAGTGGTAAATTTGTATAAAAATAAATACGGGTCGGCGGTAGTCACTATTACAAGTTCCCGGTACTATAAAGATTATAATAATATTGTTAAGTGCATTGGGAGCCGGAGCAATATAAATAATAGCCGTTGATGAATTAATTTATTTTGTCAAACGATATAGAACTTAGAATTTTGGTTGTCATATACCTAATATTTTATTATTAAACTATACATTTTTTTTAAAAAATGTTATTAAATCCATGAGATATGCATATAAATATTCTTAAACCCAAAATATGCGAATTGTTACAAAAAATAACAAAATATGCAAAATTATGCAACAAAAATTTTTATATCTGAAATATACATACTATGAATCGAATTTGTATCGAATCAGAATTTCAATATGCACTTTCTAGACAAATATGCAAATGCCTAAAGTTCCGAGCCTTGCGTATGAGTATTACATTATATGACGCAATTGGTTGCAACTCATCGATGGATTAATTCATGAATGTAATGTATCCGATGTGGCGATGTCTATGGACTAAGATGATCTTAATATTATGAAATACAATTCAATTTTTCTCGGCAGCCATTTATCTTTTGTATACAGACTTGATTTCATTATTTAAATTATAATAAATTCAGGCCGCTGCAACATTGACATTATATTTATAATAATAACTTCTCATAAACAGGTAAGACTATTTTTAATTGATACCTATGTGCATTTATGTAAGTAAAAATAAATAAATAAACATGCTAAAATAATATATCAATTAGATATCAATAGAAAATTTAGTTTAACGTAGATACTTAATACTAGCAGAAAAGTCTATATTTAAAAAATATTGCAGATTCCAAAATTTATTACTAAGTTTAATAAACAAGTTCGGCTAAAAGAACCCAACTCTAAAAATAATTTAACCCTGTAAATATTTTCTATTTACGACAAACTGAATTCGTCCATAACTATTACATCACAAAACACCTATTTATCTATCTACTCCAAAAAATCAAGAGCTAGGTAAAAATTCATATTATTTATCACATATTTGTTTTATTACTGCGTGTTAGCACATTGAATTAAGCTAGCTGTAGCTTTATAGTAATTATTGTGTAAAAATATATAAATTTCGGTATCTAATAATAAATATTTCATAGTATTATTATGGAAACCCCTAAGCAAATCCGTATGAAATGTCCGTGGGATTTGAATTCATATTTTGGACGATGGATGTATTTTTCATGGATCACTAATCCTAAATTGAACTTCGTCAACGCCGCTAAGATTGAAGAAGCAAGAACATTAAGCCTTTCTAGTATGTATGTATAATATTTAAAAAAATTTTATCTGGAACACTATTTATAATATATTATACTAGCTGACTTTACAATGTTATGCTATTGCTAGATTAAATTTTATATTGTTATTCCGTCTGTGTGTATTTTAGATTTTGCACGAAGGATCTTATGGTTTTACAATGATGTTTATTTTTGTAATATATTTATTATTTTTTTTTGTAAGCATTTGTTTTGATAGAAATACTTATCCGAAAATTTCTTCAATTAATAATTTAAATTCAAAATCGACCTGCAGTGGTACTTTAGAGAAGCTATTTTTCCAAAATCTCAATAGTTTTTCCAGGAGTGAGGAAAAACTGCCGAAAACTCGAGTAAAAACTGTAAAAATGAGTTTTAAATGAGACTTTCACTTTTTAGATTTTAGTTATTTAGTCATAACTCAAAAAGTTATGTGGCTTGAAACTTGCAACTTTTACCCTATATCATAGACATCAATTATCATATTTGATAAAATTGTACTTTACCTTAAAGCGGTGGTCAAGTGGACCAAGACGTCCAAAGAATAAAGCAAGACTTAGAGAAACTAGGGAAACTAAATTGAAAAGAAATGTGCAAAATTGAAGAAAGTGGAAGGTGTTGGTGGTAACAAAACCTTGAAAAATTGGGATGCAAGAAAGAAGAAGTTTAAGCAGATTATTAAAAGATTTTTACGGAATTTTCTGTATTTATATCAATTTTCCTCTTGAACTGTTTATTCTAAACAAATTGGTCCAATCAATATAAAAATTTAAAGAAATATGGAAAAACATGTTTTGAATATTTGATATTTGATCAAAAATAATTTCTATTTCTAGTAACTTAGCAACAACTAAAAACCTTAGCTAATGACGAAATTAAGATACTAACGAACGATGAACACCAGTTTCGACGAACTATAAAGGTATTAAAAGAGCAAAAAGTTGAATAACATAGATATCAACTTAAAACAAAAAAACAACTTCTGGTTGTAATTCCTAGATTACACCCTGATACTGATATTTATGAAATAATAGCTGAATTATTCGAAATAGGACATTATGTCACAAACATTCAAATAAAAAATAAAGGTGACGATTAGAGTATTGCGAGGCTTCCACTATTTTTTCATGGATTTGGAGCCACAAATAAACAACAAAGACATTTGTGATATCAACAATTTGTATTATAAAATAAAAGTGAAATATCCAAGGAAAAACAATTGTTTCACAATATAAAAATTGACTAAC